TACTTAATAGATAAGTAAAAAGTAACTTCGGTTTTTTAAGTTCTTCCTGTTTCGACTTCAACAGGCTCTTGCATTTTTTCTTTGCTTTGCATTTGCATGATAATTTTAATGAATTTTCAATAAATTAATATATATATGATATATATTAATATATACGACAATTTTTTAAAGAAAATTTGAAATTATAAACAAAATTATATTAAGAATAATTAAAATAAAAAAATTTGATGTAATCAGAACATTACCGGACCGAAATAAATGTTGCTTAGTGTAACAAAAATGTTGCACAAAGTTAATAAAATGCATTTTAAGCGCTTTTCTTAATTTTAGGGACGTTACTTAGTTATTTTTTAGTTAATATACCTAAAAAAATCTAATTTTGACTCTTGATTTCCCTGAAAAGTTTCCTTCACCACATAGCTTCGGTAGCAAAAAAAACTCGTAAATATCGCAAAAAAATGTACAATTGGTAACTAGTTCGGTCTCCTAACCCTAATCTTTTCAAAAAATTTACAAGTTCATTGTTTTAACACTCCGAATTAAAATATCAAATTTCAAGAAAATTGCTTGAATTTCTTTTTATATGCGTCCGTAAAAAGAACCAGTTCGCCAGATCTGATATATCCCAAAAGTTGATCAATCCGTGACATCCGCCTTAAAATAAACTTATACTTATATAAAATATTATCAAAATTGGTTCAGCCGAACTTCAGATATCCACGTGCCCACACAGTCCAACATCTACTTAAAAATAGTTTATTTACGCTTCCCTAACATGGAAAAGTGCACTTTACTTGTACAAAAAAAAGCATTTAACTTGAAGTCCCATTCAGAAAATTTTCCATAATATCTTTATGTCCTTGAAATCAAGTTAAATAATACAACGTTAATAATACCTATTTATAATTATGCACACAATGAGCAAGAGCTTAAACGAACTACATTTACGTAATTTTTCAAGAGTGTCATAATTTTGTAAATTACAAATAAAAATCCTTTATACATTTAGTGCTGCATTCTCCAATTATGAAATTTTACATTTTTTCCCTATTACAATCCCCTTCTATACTGTTAAATTATTAACTTTAAGTACTTATGCTTAAAGAAACCCAAGAAACTAGAAACAACTTAAATTAAATCATAATATATATGGGTATGTAAGTAAAATATATATGCGGCATATTTTAACGTGTACGAAACTTGTATTTTCTTTTCTTATTCTACTTGGAGTATTAGCAAACGTATAAAATAATTAAGTAGTTAAGGAAACAAAATAGACATAATTAATAAAAACTAAAATAATTAAAGATAAAACTGAATCGGAAAATTTAACTAGTAGACAGTTAATTATTGAAGTATTTTGTGTTGTTTGTTTTACAACAATTTCTGTTTCTTTCCTTGTATGTAAGTAAATTTTGAACAACATTAACCATAATAAGAAACTCTAAAATTAGAAAATTTTAATCTACTTATTAAAACCACACAATTAGGAAATTAACAAAATTTGAAATTCTCTATTAAAAGAGTTTCAAAAAAATGAAAAAAACATGTCTACAATAAGTTTTAAATTTGAAAACCTAAATTCCCGAAAATCGATTCTTTCCAAAATCTCCAAAAATCCTATACTAGTCCAAGTAATATATCCAAAATTTCCTATACTAGTGCTTGAATAATATCTCCAAAATTATTCTAGTATAATTTTACTAGAATAATTTTACTCTTAAAAAAAATTATTTAAATTTTCCCTTAAATCATTTTCCTTCGAATTTTTAAAGTATTTTCCTTTTAATATAAATTTTAGCATGAAAGCAACCAACGAGACAAATTTGTTTCTATTTTTTCATCATTATTCATAAAGCACAATACAATATTCATTTACATATGTATATAAATCATGAAGCGTCAACATCATCTTGTCATAAAAAGTCAGTCCAGTACCATCATAAAAATTGTTTTTCAATTTTTTTCTTTCTTATGTCATTGAATCTGTGCAGAAATAACAGAATTCTATTTTAATATTATGACACCGGAAACTATTCAAATATTCATTAAAGGTTCATTTCACTTTAGTTTACTGCATATAAGTACTCTGATACTTTAAAAAATAAGAACAAAACATAAAAAAATAAAAATTAACAGATCCTATAGCTTTATATATTTACATAAATAACTATTTTCATTTATGTACAGGGTTAGTCCTGAATTATTTAATATATTTAACATAAATAATTTTGTTAAAACCAATTTATATTTTAGATTATAAAAAGGTCTTACTTAAGTAAAAATCGAACCTCTCTATATTTATTCCATAATCTAATAATTCGCTCTAATAATGGGAGTGTCTTGAGTTATTTTATACGATTATTCAACATTTAAGACTTAATCTTAATTTTAATTAATTTTAATCAACTTAGAACTAAGACGTTTTGGATTTATTACGTACAATCTTTGTGTAAAAATTGATACTTACAAAGAATAAAAGTGTTACGATTTAATAGATTTCTAATTTAAATTGAAAGTAAAATTAAAAAATTTATAAATTTTTCGTATAATTTAATACATTATTTTTAGCGACATTTAAAAATTTAATACAGTTTTCCTTATTTTGTGTTAAAGAGTCACCTTGTGTTCTATTCCAAAATAAAATTATATAATTGTTACAATTTTTCACTTTGAAATGGTTATCATAGAAAGTCAGTTTAATCTTACTACAAAAATGCATAAAACTATGTGTGTATATATTATAAATGCAGCTATTATATTTATATTTCAATAAAATATAAAAATAACAAAAATTATAAAAAATTGTAGTAATGAGGGTGGGTCACCAACATTTACAGGTGAATAATTAAAGTAGAATAAAAACTAAATAGGTACTTATGTATATATGTACATATAATGACGTTACATAACCGTGAACAAAAATAAAACATATACTTAGTTGATAAAAAAAAATTAAAAATAAAAATTTGAAAAACAAAGGCTGTTAAGGTTGGTTAAGTTTTTTAAAAAATATCCAAATTTTAAATTAAAAACTAAATTTATTTTAGTTTTTCTTGTGTTCGATTAAATGAATCAACCGATTTCTATTCAGGTCTAAAATGTATTAAATTTATAACAACAATTTATGAAGTAAGTATATAAAGTATATAGTAAATAATGAACTTATATTATTAATAACAAATAACTACTAACTAGATGGGTAGGTAGGTACTTATAAAGTTTTATTTAGAAAACCAAAATATAAGCCTTCAGTATTTTCAATTGTAATACCAACCTAAATTGGTAACGATGAAAAATTTTTAAGAATTTTACTACAAAAATAATTGAATGCAAACGAGCTTCACTGCAAACAAACTTTTTGTCCACTTTAAACTGTTAACTGGTTTATATAAAATGGTCCCTACGTAAAACAGTAAGCAATTTACAAGTGCATACATTCAATCCTTAAATTACAATTATTATGAGAATGACGTTTAACAGTTAAAAGTAGGAATTATAACTGAGTTTATGATTTCATAGAAAAATGGAAGTTAATATGATAGTAAGGATTTCACCATGAAATTTTCAAAGTTGACATTTTTATTAATAAGTATGTACGATTGAAAATAGTATGACAAATTCAAATGCACATAAATTTTTAGAATATGTTAAATATCATATTATTTACATATGTATGTACATATAACTTATTTACGTGTAAATACATATAAATACTCAAAATTAAGGGAATGATCAAACAACGAGCAACAAAATGTCTAGACAAACTCTTATTTATGCATTTTTAAAATGTGTTCTCAAAGTAGATAAATTTGAAAATACCTAGATTTCAAAGTTTATAAATGTGATTTTCATATAAAACTGCATTAATGATTTTTTTTGTATTTATGTAGTTACTTATATGTATATATACATACTTATATAACGAAATTGTGCATTTTATATATGTATGTATATATATTATGTAAATTCATGTGTTTAATTGGAAACAAATTTTCTTGTCTTATTTTTTTTTAAGTTTAAGTACTTTTTTCAAATATTATTCAAGGCAGGAGTTCTGTACAAATTTTACATGTTTTTTTCATTGAATTAAAAAATGAATTATTAAACATCTTTCTTTTGATACTTAACACGGTAGAGTAAACAATTAAAACAAAATTGTTTAATTTTGAAGTCAACTTTTTTCATATAAATAATTGATATTTAAATAACTGGTACATACGTAACTTAACTGCCTACACAATATTCTGAAGCGATAAATCATAAGCTAAATATAATGTATACCAAACACAAAAGTTTACAGAGAAATGTCGATTCTAATTAGAAATCAACTAGTTAAAATTTAATTAATAATTTTTTAGTAAAAACGAAGTTAAAATTTTATTTACTGGCAAATCCTTTTAAATTAACGAATAAATTATTACTTTTTTTAAAGTATTCTCCTATCGTCTTTCAGTTTGAACACAAGTTTCACCTGTCTTTTTTCTCTTCTTTATTCAATATTCAAGCATATAAAGTGCCACGTAAAAATCTTTTATTGTATTTTATAATGGAAATAAAAAATATAAAAAATTACCAAGTACAATAAAAGAGTAAGTATTTGCTTTCTCAAACAGTACTGAATTGAAAAACATAAGTATAGATCGGATCGACCGGCTATCGGATGATAACTACCACTCTAATTTATTTATTTTTTATTAATTTAAATGATCAAAATTTATATCAGATTATCGGGTCGCATATAAATGTAATATTCAGTTATGTAAGGAACTAAATGTTACACTTATAGGAATTAAATTTAATTGATTTAAAAGGTAAATGTGAGTATCTACCTACATACCTAATAACATGTTGAGTGCAGCAGGTTCATATAAATATATAGATACATATGTACATGCTTTTGTCATAAAATTAATGAAAAAGCTTTAGTTAAATATTTTATATGTACATATGTATGTATGTATGTAACACAAAGATTAAAATTATCAATAAAAACCTACCTGTTGAATTCGCGTATATTAAGATTGTTTGTAATTCTCAATATTGTAATTTTCAAATTCTAAAAATCTGTTGCTCCACTATATCAATATGCATAGATATATGTATATATGTACAAAATTAAACGTTAAATGAAGTTTTTTTAATTTTTTTAATTTACAAAACAATTTAAAAACTAAACTTCTGTATTTAAAAATTGCATAACAAATTTGATTTTCTGTTAATTTTATTTATTTTAGTTTTCCTTTTTTTCTATATAGAAGCATGTGTTGTACCACTGTTTAACTTTATGAATAAACTTTGCTTTATTGCATATTTTTTATTACAAAATATTTTTTTTTTTGAATTTTAACTTCTTCTAATAACTAAATAAAATTTTAAAAATTAATTCTAGCCTAAAATTATTTAATAATCCGATTCTAAAAATTTTAATTACAATAAAATTTTAAACCGGTACTTCTTTTGTTGTTTGAACAAAAATTTTCAAATGTCAAAACTATTCTGTTTTAAAACTAGCTTTGATTTACTACTCATTATTTTTTTTCTTCACAACTTTTTTACTTCAACGTCAAAACGTCACTGACCAAATTTATTATGAGTTTTAACTTTTATGTTTTTCTACCATTTTTGTTCTTTCGATTCCAAAAGTTTTTGTTTACATCCCATATCCATTGTTTCATTTTCTTATTTTTTCATATTACTGTTGATAGTCAATTTAACGAAGCAAAACTTTAAATAAGATTCAACCATCCATCTGGTGGCTGTCAAATGAAATGAAAATGTTTTCATTTATTGTAAAATATTTTTGGCTTTTTCGTTTTTTACATTCAACTTATGAACATTAACATAATGTTCAGCGCTGAAAGTTGGTATTATCTCGTATCAGGTTATATATCGATATAATCCAAATGCACAAAAAAAATACATGCACATTAATATAACGCAAAGTTCATTTACTATTTCGAAACTGCAATTAAAAAAACTATTATATGACAGAATTAGCTACATACCTTTAAATTATTAAATTGTTTTCATTTCATCAGAGCATAATCTTAAAGTTCTTAATCTGTTCATATTCAACATCTGAGTTGAAAAATGAAAAACTCCAAGGCATTTTTTTGGTTGAAAGGTTAACTTGAAAGACTACTCAAAACCAAGTCAGTACAAAAATTATAGAAAAACTTCACCGTTATTTTATATCTTTAAATGTACATTACTGGAATTGGAAGACAGTAATCGCACCAAAATCCAATTTTTAATTCGAAAAGTATGTTGGTGAAACTAAGAAACAACTTTCACTAGTTTTGACATATTGTCTAAAGGTTAATCATAGGGCCTGATCGTCTATCTCGCTATTTTACTCGGAAGGTGAGAAGAGAGTGAGTAACTATCATTTATTTTTATAATGTAATTTTCGAGTATGAAAAATTATTCGCTATTGTGTATTTCATTTTTCAACCAATCCTTGACGATTAAATTTTATAGTGTACATTGGATGAAAAATTCTGTTTAAACTTCAAACACTATCTGATCAAATCTGTTTTTTAAATTAAATTTTTTTTTAACTTAAATAATAAAAATTTGTAACAATTTTGAAAAAATGCCTGTATGTACATATTTTTGTAAATATATATAAATTTTTTTCCAAGATATTTTCTGTATTAATGATCATAGAATAGGGCGAATAATCGAATAATATATAAGAATAGATTGCATGTATAAGAATATTCTAGAACAATGTTTTTGTTGCCAAATTTTGTTTATTTCATCAAACATTTTTACAACAAATTTTCATTTAATTGCCATCCAATCAAATAAAATCATCATTTTTGCTTGATGTTAAACCTATTTTAAGTTACCTGAAAAAATTTTTACAACGTCAACTGATCCAGTATATTTTACTTAAGCTGTCAAAACGCTAGTATGCATGTACTGGCAATTAAACCGAACAGCTTATCATTTTTATATAGTATTTTTTCACTGAATCTATTTTTTTTGGATTCCAGAATAAATTCTAAAAAATTTAAAATTTTTTTGTATTTTTGGTTTAAAAAAATTTAAATTAATGACCACTAAAAATAATTTTAAAATACAAAAATAGAGTTAGTATTTTTATAGTGTACTGATTAAGTAACAAAAATTTGTATCGGTGCATACCGCAACAATAAAACTATGGTTTGAGACGATTTGAATGTCACAAAATCTAAAATTCAAACAAATACGGTTTGCAGCTCTTGTGATTATTTTGTATTATGTCGTTAAAAATTTTTTCATATCCCTTTTTTAAGTTTTGTATATTTTTTCCTTATAAATAACATGTGTACGCACAAATAAACAGCTGAAACGAAAAAGGGAGAAGGAAAATAAAAAAAAATTATTGATTTTTAGATTTGACAACCTGGCCGTCAAATTTAGTTCAGTTCTTCTTTAGTCCATATTGTAATATACTTATTGTCCCAAAAATTTAACTTAATTAAAAATTATTTATAAATTATATATTCTACATATTTGCATTTTGATAATTTAAAAAAAAGAAATACCAACATTATTTAAAGAATTTTCAAATTTGCAACGTCCTTGTAAAAATTTCCATAAAATAACGGTAAACCTTAAAATAATGTGAAAACTTTTCATATTATTACTTAATAGTATTTGTGTAAATATTTGGATGCTCCAAGATAATAATAAAAAATAAAAGAATCTTAAAAATTCAATTCTTTCCTTTGCAGAGGTAAAAGAATTGCGTCTTATAAAATTTATTATTTTGCATACTGTTTTATCGATTTTCATATTAGTTATCAGCTAAGAATAAACTGTAAATTACAATAAAAAGGATAAGAACCTCGCCATATGAAAATGTAAAAATGATGCAAAAAATATGTAAACTTAAAATTTTAGCAAATAGTTGTTATATAAAAATTCTAAAATTTAATATTAAGATAAACATTAATGAATTCAATTAATTATTTTATCTCCAATGTATAATTAATGCTTTCAAGGACAAAACAAAAAAAAAGTATTTGAAATACCTATTTTAATTAAGTTCAAAAGAACAAAAATAAAAGTAAAGAAAAATAAATACGAAATTGCTATCGAAAATGGCTAATCCGCCACAGGATACATCTGGTTTAGGTTATTTTTATCATTTACCGTCTGGTGGTTTTTTAAATAGAATTCGAAATTCGTTGACACAATTTAGTGATATTTTTAGTGAATTTAATAAATACATTGGTAAGTATAAGTAATTTTCATATAGATATTTGCATACATACTTATATAGTAGTTTCTACATACATACATATGTAAGTTGTATATTGATTATTGTGTTTATCTCTTATGTATTAATATCGTATTACTTTAAAATTATCATGAACTATTTGTATGTCCTTAAAACATGGCAAAACCATGTACCTATTTAAACTTAGTTTAATATTTTATTGAATGATTATGAATTAAGTTTGTTGTTATAAAAATACGTACACGATGAAGGTAGATATATTTTAAAATGTAATCTCTTCAAAGAGTGTTTCATCTAGCTTTGCGAAACAAGACCCCTTCAGACATTAACAAAAAAACATTAACAAAAGGTTATTTTGTTGATATTGCAAATTCTATTTTATATCCTTCTAAAAGATATCGCGATCTACTTGAATATTTTCTATACTTTCCACTATGTACATCTGTGTGTACATTTATACATTTTTTTTTGTTATAATCTATATATTTGTTTTATTTTTTTATTATATTTATTCTGTATTGTTCTATGTATATTATTTTTTCAAATATTTAATTTCAATTATATTATATTTATGTTGCACAAAATAATGGTATATACTACAATTTTTGCATTTTTAGCTCCAGCATATCATCATGATCGATGTGAGCGAAGTGTTTATATGAGATTATATTCAATGCATAAACGGGAGTTCGTAATGGTCTTTATAGGATTTTTCATATGTTTTGGGCTTGGTATTGTAATTGGATTAGCTGGTCCTCCTATTACAAATACAAATGAAATAACTGCCACCTCGATATTAGAAAATACAACGATAACAAAAGATAAAAATGCATTGGCAACTGGACCATTTGTTATGAAAACCCCGTTAACAACAACATACTCACAACAGTTGTGGTTAATAGCTAAATTAGAAACATCAAACGAAGATGGTAATAGAAACTTGTTTATTTCGCTATTTATTCTGTCTTTATCTATTTCAAACATTTAGATGAAAAGTATGACAAGAGTTTTCAGGTAAGTGTCGGAATAGACGGAATAACCGAAAGCCATACCCCCCTAAATATATTAAGTGCAGAAAACATTAAAAATCGTACAAGGCATTTGCTTTGTGAAAGGAATATGTGTGAAGAATTTATAATCTTACATCTGGGTTTTCTAGAATATGCACATTATATTATAACCGTAAAATTTTATGATCTGGAGCTATTTCATCAAAAATATAGAATAAAAGGGATAACATTTTATGTGAGTAAATTTTTCTAAAATTTTTTAATAAATTCTGCACTGATGTTAAAGCTCTTGGAAATGATTAAAAAAAAAAGTTACGAACGTAACGTTACTTTAACTTTGGCAGTTTCGAAACTGTTTTGTTATTTCTCAGGTAAAATTTTTCCAATCTGATTTTCTTTAACTCTTCAAAGCCACCCGTAGACTTCGAGTTTCAAAAAAGCAAACAACATTCCTGACAGCTTTAACACTAATTTCAGAAAAGATTTTATTAATCCTTTTTTTCAATTTTGCAGTTTAAGACTTACAGTCCTGCATTCTCACAGATCGAAATATGGTTTAGATTTATATTTTTGCTTTTCACATTTATAGTTACGGTAAGTAAAGTCGACAAAATTTATTTTTCTAACTAAATTGTTTTCACTTCCAATTTCTTTTTTAGTGTTGGTTCGCCCATACATTACGTAAGTACCCGGTGTACGACTGGTCTATTGAGCAAAAGTGGATGTCAATATTACTCCCTCTTCTTGTATTGTACAACAGTAAGTTATTAAATTTAGCAGAATTTTTAAACATCTCGTTATATAAATTTGATTTATGTGTACATATTTTTTTAGACCCTTTCTTCCCGTTGATATTTTTGTGGAATTCGTGGTTCCCCGGAATGTTAGATGGAGTTTTACAAGCGACTTTTTTATGCTCACTTTTAATGTTTTGGTTATGTATCTATCACGGCTTGCGCCAAAACGAAAGAAGATTTGTGAGATTTTATCTACCCAAAATAATTGTTGTTATGCCAATTTGGTTTAGCGCCATAGGTATGAAAACATTACACAAGAATATTAGTTCACTTGCTTGAATTATATGTAATTTTATAGTTTTAGCTACATGGGAAAAATGCAATGAATTAAGAGACCCAACATACAATCACTTTGTCGACACTAAAAACTATGAGGTAAATCATTCTTATTAGTTTTGAAAAAATATCTTAAAGATTTTTAACTTTCACGAAAGGGTTTTAAAATGTTCTTTTATATCGCTGGTACGATGTATATTCTTTATTTGGCTTTACTAGTACTGAAATCGTATAGTGAGCTGCGTTCGATGCCATTTTTTGGTAAGTAGTAGTAATACGAACTGAAAATTACCGAAAAATGAATTATTAGCAAACCGTATTTTTATAATGTTTTACAAACTGAAAACTTATGAGCTTATTTTTTTCTTCTGACAGACATGCGTCTTAAATTTTTAACACTTCTTATGTTAGTTGTACTATCAATATCTTTAGCAGTTACAGTTAATCGTTTTGGCTTTGGCATTTTAGAAGATAACTTTGTGGCCAACTTGAAAACAACGTACAAAAGTTCAGCGCAATTTATGTGTTTTTATGGTTTACTGAATTTTTATTTGTATACGATGGCTTACGTTTACTCACCGAATGGAAAATCAAATGGTAAAAATGCAAAAATACTTTCATACCAAAAAAGCACTCGCCAATAAGTTTCATAATTATTTTGAAATTATATGAATTTATATTTAATTTTAGAACAAATAACGAAAGATAATCCAGCATTTTCAATGATAAACGATTCAGACGAAGATGTCGTTTACGGTTCTGATGATGAAAGCCGAAGGCCTTTGAATTCATCAAGTAATACAACAGGTAGTAAAAATGATTACGATAGCGACTAAATGTAAAAAGATTAAATTGGGAAATAACAATTTTCTGAAAAATTTGTAACAATAATAATAAATTTACGTACATTTTACTTTACAAAAAATAATGTGTAATAAGATTTTTTTATGTTAATATTTATAAAGGTCAAAAATAGATTAAATTAAAATTATATTATATTGTATACTTACGTAAATGTAGTATTAACATGTACTTAAGATTAAAAGGTCTATTTTTTAACAGAAAAAATATATTAACAAGAATAATTATTATAAGGATATTATATATATATTGCTTAAATTTTTGATTTTAAATGAAAAAAATTCAATATAGTCTACAAAGATGTTTTGAAATGATTTTTCTTACCTATCTATGTATATTTATTTATCAGTTGTAATTGTAAGAATAATAATATGATCGATTATACATAAGACTTTTTAAAAAAATTTCTTGATTTTTTCCTTTTCTATTGTAAATATGCGATATAGATACATATACATACAAAAAATTAAATTTATTTATATACATACGTTTATGGAAAAGAATTAAATAAATTGTTGTAAACCATATTATAAAAATTGATTTTAATTTTCTCCTAATGTTTTAAAATCTTTTAGATCCTGAAAGTTCTAAACGATGGTGTTCACAAAATTTTTGATTACTTTTTTACTCAGTTTCGTTTCGTTTGAGTTTTCAAATTACTAAGAGCGTATATGCGTAAAACATAACCTTAATATTTTAACGTTCATTTTAAATTATGCATGAATGTATGTACGTACTTTTTAAAAAAAATTACATCATTCTAATATTTTAGTTTTCAAAACATAAAAAAAATTAATATTTACCTAAAAATTTCCAAATTTGATTTGCAAAAGTAAAAAAGTAATTGTTTTTTATTGTTAAATGGGATTTTTATGGTTCGCGAAGCGAATGTCATTGTTTTCGAATTCGCCTAAATGGTTCGTGAAGCGAATAAAATTATTTTGAGAGAAATGTCGAAACTAATGTTAAAATTCTGCTCCGAGCATTCATAATAGAGCGATGATAGATTATGTTCCTAGTAAAAATAACCCTTAAAAGTATATGAAAAAAAATAATCACACGTAACAAGGGATTTAAAGAAAATGATCGTATTAAATTTTCAAGTTTTGAGTTTTTGAAATGAATTGAGTTTGCTCAATTAAAAAAAATTTTTTCCGCTTTTCAAAAATGTTCAAAAAATAAGAGAACTAGGAAACTTTTCCAAATATATAGTGTTGCTCAATTTGTGCAAAAAATGTGAAAGTGGTAACACTAATTAAACCATTTTGACAGTTAGCTTGGCTTTAAATAGTATACTTTGTTGTTTTTTATTTGTTTTTCAAATTGCCAAAAGTCAAAAACGGTCTATTTAAAAATATTGTTCAAACGCCAAAAGAGTGAAAAAGCATTTTGAGTTTTTCTTTTTTTGTAATTTAAATTTATTATTGATAATAAATAATTTGGTGTTACTTAAATAACTTAAATGTTTTTAATTTGTAGAAAGAGCTTATTGCAACTGGGCAAAAATAATTCAAATTTATGATGGAGGTGATTGAAGAGCAATCAAAATGCGATGAAGATTCCATAATACCACCAAGAAAAATTTCAAGTGACAATTTGAGAATTTGTTTGGTTGGAAATGTATGTGATGATAAAAACACGGTTAATGCAGCGAAAAAAATTGGAGTACCAGTTATAACATCAGAAACAGCAACTGATATAATTTTGGATGATGTATGGGTGACGTATTTCATACTAAACAATTTTGAAGGTGCAATTTATGAAGCCATCAAAAAAACTAAACACAAAATATTAGGTCCCCCAGCTTTACATTATATTGCTAACTCAAATATGGACCTTCCTAGTATAAATAGGCCATTATATAATTATTCTATGAAAGGTGTTGTAACATGCTTTACAGGGATACGGAAGAAAGATGAATTAACAGAATTAGTTAACTTAATACATTCAATGGGTGGTTCAATTCGAAAAGATATGAACTCCAAAGTAACGCACTTAATATGTAATGCAACGGGTGGTAAAAAGTACGAATATGCAATGACATTTCGTTTAGCTGTTGTCAGACCAGATTGGGTTCATGAAGCTTGGAAAAATAAAGAATCTTATGATTTCAAGGCTACTGAAGAATCATTTACAAAAGAGCATAAATTAAAAGTTTTTGAAGGGCAAAGAATTTGCTTGTTTGGTTTTAGTGCAGACGAATATCAGCATATGGTGGATGTATTAACTAGCAATAAGGGCATAGTAACTGATTTAGAAGACCCCGAATGTACCCATGTCGTGATGGCTAACATGGGGGATCATTTCCCTGAAATTGCACCGGGATCTCAATGTTCTTCTCCAGCTGCTTATTTTAATTTTCATGGGAACGGACCACCAAAAATTGAAAATGCAAAGGATGTTGGATATAAAATTGACAATGATTTAACAAATAATATGTCGGACGTAAAGATTCAAGCAGAAAGTACAAGTACTGTAGACGAGTTAGACCGTAAAATGATCGAATGTTCTGACATTCTCATGTCAGAAAAAGGTGAGCTCTCTACAATCACAGAAAACTCTACCCCGAAGCATGATGGTGTTATATTATCAAGTGAAAAAAATGAATTTCTTGATCCAAATAATTTATCTCCAATTTTGAAAACACCCAAGTCAACGAAGCAAAGTTATAGATTGTTCAGCGAAGACAATTTGAATAGCGAAATAAATCAAATCAAAGAAGAAGGCGAGGACTCGGCGTGTCAGGAATATAAAAGAAAACAAGAAAGTTTTGATAATGTTTCAATCTTATCGACAGATTCAATAGAAATATCTTCAACGGGAGTTTCCAAAAAATTGAAATTAATTCGAACTGGATCTATAACAAGAAGTATAAAACGAAGTATGAGTTTTGCTACAGTTAAAACCCCTATCGCTAATATGTTGCGTCCAAGGCGTAATTCAGTTGATCCAAATTCCTCTATCAGTTCTATAACTTCAACTGATTCGAAATTTAATGAATCAATTAAAAATCCTGTCAAAGATAAATTGCGTACAATACGTGATCGTGTACGTAAAGGTAGCAAGCGTGATATTAATATAACTCCAAAAACTGCAAAACTGGCATCTTCTAATCTAATCACTTTAAAAAAACTGTGTAAACTAAAAGCCACTTCAAATGTGAATGATGAGGAAATTGAAGAATTAATGATGCCTGAAAGTTCTGAAAAATGTTTTCAAATTAAAAGGGAAACAGATTTTAAAACTCCCTCAGCTCCGCAACAACGATACTGCTCTGATTTGCCTACACAAGTTAAGCAACAAACCCCTTCACCTACAAACGAGGCAATTTCTAATTACGAAGAGATTAGTCAAAAGGATATTTCCACTATAGAAGCACCACAAAAAACAGAAAAACGCCTGGAAAGTTATTCAAAATCCCACACCGGGAGTATTGATTCTAGCAGTTCAATGGATGTCGATAGTGTTATAACGAAAACAACTTCAACAAGTGTGAATATTGCTGTTGATGAGAATATTGCTATTAATATGCCTGAACCAAAGAGTCACAAAACTCACATAGTTAAAGCAGATTGGTTTTGGTACACCATACAAAATGGCTACGCTGACGAAACTTTATATCTTTTTGGGGATTATCTTGATAGTATTGCAAATACTCCTGGTACAGATAGTCATCGTGATTCGTTACCAATAAGCTTTAAAAGGAAAAGGAAGCGCTTTTTACAAAGATTATTACCTGATAAATCAGTAATTGGTACCAACAAAAGACGTTCATCAATCACTGATGGTGGTCTTTTATCAGCATCAAACAGTTTTTTGGATTATACTGTTAGTCCAGATAAATATCACGACAGTGGAGTATGTAATAAAACCACTAATGAAAATGATGTCGTTGTAGAACCTTCACCAAAAAATCGTTCCATGAGGTATAACCATTTCATGGATTTTTATAATACCGAATCGAATTATGTAGGAATATTGAGTACAGTCAAAAATATTTTTAAAACACCTTTAGAAGAAAGAGCAGAAACAAATGACGCACTATTGAATAAATCGGAAGTAAAAGCAATTTTTGGCAATTTCACACACATAAGTGATGTGCACAAAAGCATGTTGGAACGATTAAAGGAGTTGCAATCAAACTGGAAAGAAGATTGTTTAATTGGCCAAATAATATTAGATCATCGCAATGAATTGATAAAAGCGTATCCACCGTATATAAACTTTTTTGAGCAAATGAAAGACACTTTACTCCAGTGTGACAAGGAAAATCCCAGATTTCATGCATTTTTAAAGATTAATCAAGCTAAACCAGAATGCGGCAGGCAATCATTGCAGGATTTGATGATCCGGCCGGTACAAAGATTACCCAGCATAAGTTTACTCATATCTGATATTCTAAAACATACGAATAAAAATAATCCTGACCATAAAAAATTGGAAGATGCTCTGCGAGCTATAAAAGAAGTAATGGCTCATATCAATGAAGATAAAAGAAAAACAGAGGGTCAGTTAGCTATATTTGATATCTTTAATGACATCGAACAATGTCCCGCTCATTTAGTATCCGCAAATCGTTGCTTTATCTCAAAGTGTGAGGTTACTGAGCTTTCTGATTCACTCAGTGGTCGTGGTGATTCTTTGATTTTATATTTATTTTCTGATACCATTGAAGTTTGCAAGAAACGTTCACGCGGATTTAATGCGGCGAAGTCACCAAGTTCTACAAAATCTTCAAAACATATTAAATTAATGCCACTAACCTCGATTCGATATGTTATTGAAATATTTGATAGTCCAAAGGCATTTGCAATTAACTGCCGCCATAACCAAGAAAATAAAGATAAATTATATGCTTTTATGATTGATAATGAAGAAATTGACCGTACAATATATTTACGTAATTTGTGTAAGCAAGTTGCTGAACATGCATGTCGCACTGATATAAATAAAGCTTTAATATCTATGACATCACAAGAATTAGACGTTGATACAAATGATATTCATTTAAGTACTTTATCAAAGGCATTTAAGTTTGCTACACGAACACGTTTGAAGGTTGGCCGTGCATTTTCCTTTAATAAAACTCCAGCAAAGTTAAAAAGGGCTGTATCTACTATGATGCCAACACATTTTGGGAGTACTCATTCTTTAACGCCAGCATCACAATTTGCCCAAATGAGATTGGCTAGTTGTACAAATTTGAATGAAATTGGTGAAAAAGATGGTTGTGATCAAAATAATCATAATATGGGAAATAATAGAAGTCAGTCACCTTCAACGCAGTCAGAAGTGCTGGTTGCGCCAATGTCAGTTCATCAAATAGGAAAAAATAAGAATTCAACTATTTCCTTGGCTGCGCTAAGGAGATTGTAATTTTTTTTAATTTTAACTTGTTCATATTTTGTCTTATAATTTTTATAAATTTATATTAAAACCAATAATATTGAACGAATATTATAACTAAATAATATTTTAATACTTTTGTATGAGCTCTCATCGCATAAACATACGTACATGTTTATTTTGTATGTTCTTAAATGTGACAATAATTTATAAAATAATTTAATAAAAAATAATTTTTTTTTGTGTTCTTTGACGAAAAATCAAAATCTAAATTATGTACATAATTATTTTGCTGTGTTAAAATAGAGTGAATTGAAAAAATAGTTGCTTTCGTATTTTGCAACAAATAGAAAGTTTTCAAAGAAAAATTTAAACAACTGTAAACAGATCATTCAAAATTAAATTTATTATTTATTATCTAAACGATATCCAGATATAATATATTGGACTCAATGCTCAAATTTAGTATCCCAAAAGAACTCTTCATAGTTTTGTCCAATTATAACTAATGAAACCTTGAATTTTCTTTTGATTTTTTTGTGTTATTTAATTTGTTTCTATTAGAATTAGTTCATTTGTCCTACTTTGGAAAGAATGTATTAAATTCTATACAAAAATAAATTTGAAGCAAAAAATTTTTGTTTTGTACGCATGTAAAATATAAACTTATAAATTTGTTTTATTAAAAAGTACGCACAATAATAATTATTTAATGATAAAAAATACAATTATAAATTTATAATAATATTAGATATAGGAAACAAAATAATCGAACTCAAAAATTAATCGAATAAAAAGTATCGAATCTTATACCTAGTTCTGTAATCTTTTGTTACAACTAGGTTGTAGCAAAACGAATATTATAACAATCAAAAATTTTGTAAACATTTTTTCATTATAAAGTCTAAAATTAAAAACAAAATGTTAACTTATACAAAACGTTTGTATTTACAAGAAATGATATTTTATTTACGAAATAATATATATTATATTATATATACATTAATATTTAATTATGAAATATATTTTAAAAATTAAATGGTAAAATTACGAAAAAAACATTGTATTATTTGTGTTGTAGGTAAAAAATGCATATTTTGGCGTTTCTTAAAATTATATTGAATAGTGATTTGTGGATAGCTTTAGGTAAATTTATACAATAAGGCTAAGGAGTAGAATACTCAAAAAATAAATTTGCAAATTATTAAGTTGTATAAGCCTATTTGCAAAGTGCTCTACTAAAAAAATGCTAATTATTTTCATTATATGAGAACATAAATTAAGAATTTTTTACTTAAAGAATTCTTAATGATGAAACAAAATCACTGTGGACTAAAAGTGGATACCATAAATTTTATATTCCCTCTGGAAAATTTTAAGATTTGTGCTTTAAATAAATATTATATGCGGCTTTGTAAATTAATATGTTTTGCAGTATGGAGGAAAATTTGGGTAGTGCAAAATTTACTAAATTTTAACAATATTTAGCAAATAAAATTATTTACGCATAGCAAGTAAAGTAAAAGTTTTTATAGTGATAATTAAAAAAGTACTTTTGTTAGGATTTGTTTTATTTTTAAGTTACAATAAAATTGAGGAATTTAAAAAATCATTATCATAAGAAAAACAGGCATTTGTTGTTTGTATTTTTCTCTTTCAAACTGTATTTTACATATTCCAAAAGCTTTTTCTCTTTAATTACAAGTTTTAATTGCCAATATTTCGATAAAATTAAATATTAAAAGCGAACTGTTTTAGAATTTTTAATCCCAATATTTTATTAAACCGTCCCATCCAGCTGTGACAACTTTGCTAGCTTCATGAGGATGCCATAAAGTACTTATGCAAACTCCTTCATGTGCTTGCCATTTTTTATATAGTTTAGTTGTTTTCCAATCCCATATATAACATTTTCCATCCCCATCCCCTGATATTAGGTAACTCATATCTGGAGAAAAATCTAGCTGACATGCATACCCTGAAACCATATGACCAATAAAAGTTTTTTTGCGATTAATTTTAAAGCGATTCATTGCAGAAAATATCACAATTTTATTATCTAAACTTTGACAGGCAAGCCATTTTTCGTTCGGTGACAAGGTCACAGCTGGCATTGAATGCATTGTAGGATCAGCAATATATTTCATGTCAACAGGTATATCCCATTCCCATATTCTCATGCTTTTGTCGTCTGATGTTGTTACAAAACGCCGATTTTCATCTACAAAAGTAATAGTATTCACTGCACCTAAATGACGATCATATTCTTGAACAATTTCACCACTTCTCGTATCCCACTGAAATAAAGAATTAATTAATTTATGACGCAATATTAACAGTAATTTCAATTTAAGTTACACATATAATTTTTTTATCTGAAGTTCCAGCTACAAATAAATGTTGTTTATTTCGGTCTGGATTGAATTTAACACAAAAAGGAATTTTTCTTGAAGAAAATCTAGATACGACATCACCAGTTTCTGCATCCCATAGTTTTATATAACGATCATAACCAGCAGAAAGAAAATGTGTACCTGGATTATTCCAAGACACATCCTTCACAGCTTGTCTGTGGCCGAAATATGTTCTGATACACCTTCGTTCACCATATATTTCCCAAAGTTTAACGCGGCAATCCATACTTCCAGATAAAAGTAAATGAGCTGTCTTAGGAAACCATTTGATAGTAGAAACACCTTTGGTGTGCCCAGTCCAGGTATGTATGTGTGCTTTCGGTAAAAAACATTTTGAAGGTGCAGAATCCGAACGAAGGTTAACACCAACGTCGTGAGGTGCATGTAAAAACGATCTACCCTGATAATCAACAGCATCTTTGACTGCAATATGTAATTTTCTATTAATATGAATAATTGAAGTAGAATGAAATGTGTATAAATTCTTACTATGTAATATAGACTTTTCTTCGATGGGTTTTTCTTCCGGAATTCTTCCTCTTTTATGTCGTTTCGATAAAATTTCTTCTAAAGCGGCTTTTTCGTCTTCATTTGGTCTAGCTACAGTTTGCTCATCTACATATTTTCCCCAAGGACCTACAAAACCCTCAACATCCTCAGGATTATCATTTTTCTCTTGTTTCCGTTTCTTTTTTGGTTTTGGAGACTCAAAAACTGTTTTACCATCTGTATCGTAAGCTGATTGTAAGTCACCAACGTAATTTTGTCCCTCAATTGTTTGACTATCTACTGTAGGATCTAGTGCATAACCGTATGTGTGAAATGTTCTACGTTGATTTTCAAATTGAAAAGCATTCACGTGTGCTTTTTCTATGTAGCCAGATAATGTGTTCCGTTGAGCGCGCATTTGTTCTGTGAGAAATGGGTTTTCTGGTCCTTGAACAGGCGCGAAAAGCTCTTCATACTTAGGATTATACTGTAATTCTTTGTTTGCAGGATCAACAACACGGCTTACTGCTTGATGATTCATTGGAACTACATCTGGAGCTGCACAAATAGTCATACTTTTAGCCACAGATATTGATTCATCGATTGGTTTTAAATAGTCTGCATTCTTTTCAGTTTTTCCGTCATCATTTTCAATGTCGCTGGATGAACTATCGCTAGCATAAGCTTGAAGGCTCAACATATTTTATCTAAGAAAAAAGTAATGAACTATTTTTGTGTTTTTATAATTTTTAAAGAATTAAACGTATAAACATAAACATTAGAACAAGCAAATGTCAATTATACTTTTGATTGATTGTTTGATTGCATTATCTTAAACATTTACAATGTCTGCTAATAATCGATGACAGCTGTCACCGTTAATGAAAATTACGTCATCGTTAAGAATTATTTTTGGTAAATTAGTAAAGGGTAATAAAGGTTTTCACGTAACTGTGCATATATGTAAAGCAAACTCAAAAAGTGCTGCAGCATTAAAATTGTAAAATAAAAAGTTACAAATGAGTTACTTTTTTAAAAAATGATTAAGAAATAATAAGCTCCCTTTTGCGAACATGTGTTTTTCACCAAAAATTATTTGTTTTTTGATAAGTCGTACTAATTTTTACTTTCAAATTGTAATATAAGTAATTCAATGTAAGTTTAAGAACTTCAAAATAAATAATAGGTCTGTCTAATAAAACATGAAACAAAGATGAAATTTCTCGCCAAAAAAAAAACTCTCATTTAAAAAAAATAAATCAGACGGAAAACTTGAGAAAACTTTCAAAAACTATATAAATATGCGATAAACGTCAAATTTCAAAGTATTCATAAAGCATAAATAAATATTCTTTTGTTATACCAAAAACCAATAACTTTGATTGCGGATTATAAAAGTGTGAACCATAGAAAAAACGATTTGTGAACCGATTTTGGTTATTTTATTTTCAATTGGAAAATTTTGAAAAAAAAAGTTATTTTTGATAAAAATTTGTTTTTCAAAAATAAAACCTTTTGACATGACCAAGAAAAACATGTTTTACGTTGATTTTTGTTACTGTCAAGAGAAGAATGTTTATTTTTTAATGTTATTTTTAATGTTATTTTTCATTTAATGTTTTTTAATGTTAATTTAAAATTTAAGAAAACCGAAAGAAATTATGATAAATTAATTAAAGAAAATGAAACTGATAAAAAAATAAATAATATGTTAATGAAAAGTTTACAATGAAGTTTCCCATGGCTTTTAACCTTCTTCCCATCAAGGAATCCCTTCAAAATTCCCTAGAAATCGGAAAATAACTTGAAGGTCTCATATGATAGACATTTATGGCATTAAATAAAAGACACATTACCATACATACATAAGCATTGATATATTTTTATACACATAAAAAAATTTTTTTTTTGAACATCTGACAACCCTAGATTCTTGTATTAAAATTTTATTGACTCATCTCATAATCAAATCAAAATGCATTTTATATAATTATTTCATTTTTATTTATTTATTTTAATATCTTTTTTTTATTTTGAATTTTAAACCTTAATTTATATCAAATTTTTCATATCTAAAGAACATAACGCTTTTTCTTTAAAATTATAATATTAATGTATAGGTAATGTAAATATAATATCTATGTATGTATAAGTGTTTTTAAAATAAAAAAAATTATATATACATATGTATATATATATATATATATATGCCTACGAAAATTGAATTAAAATTAACAAAATATCAATTGAAAATTATTAGAAAAAAAATTTCAAATACATGAAACTTGTATAAACTTACATGAAACAATGTATATATACAATTTACGTGTATTTTATATCTTAATTACACAAAAAATACGTTTTATATTAATTTATTTTTATTTATACACATTTACAGAATGAAGTTGTATAACTTTTATTTAAAAATTTGTTGTATAAAATTTATAAAAAGAAAAATAATATTGATCCCAATTTATTTCCAACTCTTTGTTACTTAATTCAATTCTGTTTTTTTTTACAAAATTAAATTTGTTGAACCTTTTTTTTTATTTCTATTGTGCATAATGTAACAGTTGTGTATAATGTATTATGTAATTGTAAAGAAAATAACTAAGTTTATACTATTGTTGAGGAGTTCGAAGATGCAACACTTTTTTTTTTAAATTCAAACAAGTTTTTCAGATACAAGAAGAGTTTTAGACTGTAAATTGTAATGCAAAATTTTCCCACCATTTTTGTCCGTAAAAATTTTTAAAACAATTTGAATTCATTTTAATTATTTAAATCGATTAAACAAATTTAAATTATAGTTTCAAATTTTCATTTAACAATATTTGTTTGAAAAAGATACATAAGTGTTCTAACAAAATAAATTATTTTTAACCGAGACTTTATTAATTGTACTTAAACTGAATAAGCTGTTATATAATCAAAATTTTGATGCAATTAGCCATGGGCCCTGTCATCACAGTTATGTGAAAAAGTGAAAGATAGAAATTAGGTTTCACCAAAGAAAAAATGAGTGATCAGCTTGTTGCATCATACATTTTTTTTTTTAATGATGATCCCTGGACTTATTTTCAATATAAAATTAAAATGCACAACTCCAACTATTTTTGATAGTTTACTTTTTAACGATGACAGTAAAAATGAATGATAGGTCCACAAAAATGTGAAAAAACAATGGTGACAAGCTCCATACTATAATAAAAAAGTTTGATTGCATAATAAAAATATTTTAAAAAATTGTAACATCTCGTATGGATAAGGAATTTTAAACCCGATTTCTCAAAAACATTAAAGTCTTGGAATAAATAAAGCAGAATAGAAAAAAAAACTATGTACCACAAAATTATATAAAATAATTTTACAAAAATTCAAAAGTAAGAGAAATTTTTTTCGTTATAATATAAATTTTTAATAACTAAATAATATTTAATTTTTTAATTTTATAACTAACACGTTTAAGGCCTTAATGTATTTTTTTTTCTGAATTTTTTTAATTTTCTTAATGTCTTATTAAATTTTAAAATAGTTTAATAATAAAAATTTTTATTTAATAATTTAAGTTCCTTCTTTTTTTTTATATTTCTGTTCTTATTTTTTCTTGCATTTTTATTTTATATAATTAATTTCATTTAAAAAAATTAAAAACTGAAAAAAGAATTTTCAATTTTAATTCGCTGGTTGTTTCTCCATATCATAATAACCACAAAAATTTCTTAAAGTCTAATAAAATTTGTAAAAAGAAAAAAAAAGAATCCTTAACTTTCAATATTGAATATTAATAATAGATAATAATATTATTTTTTAGATATAATGATTAAATTTTTTGGCATTTTTTTAGGTTTTTTCAGATTTTTTTTTTTTTGAATTTAAACGCTATAACATTTATAATTAGAAACTGTTTTATGTATATAGAAAAGAAGAACATATTTTAAGTGATTGTATAAACTTTATGGTCACGATTTTTTGCATTCTATATGCCTAGCAGGTTTCCGGAAATTGAAAATTGCAAAAAATTGATCAAAACCATTCGACTTATCCAACAAACTTATCAATTCATTTCTTTGAGGAAAGTTCCTATATTGAATTTACTCGGATTTATTTGAAATTTAAAAGTTATTATTGTTTAATACAAGAACAGCAAAAATATGAGCTCGTTTCATTTAAAAGGCGTAAAAGTTGTAGTATTAATCATTTGTCTCGAATAATATTCAAAGTAAGGCTAGAAACAAAAATTATTTCCCAGTATGTCAAATGCGTGCAAGTGACTTTAGTAATTAATTCTAATGCGACATAACGTGCGCGTCATAAATTCTAATATAGGCTGCCAAAGTAACCGAATATACTCGTATTATTTATTTTTTTTTTCTTTAAAAGCTAAATGATTTTTATATATGAAAAAATAAATGACGAAGAAAACATTTTAATTTTTAAAATGTCAATTTCGAAAATTGATTAATTTCATATGATTGTCATTTGCAAACTCAAGTAATTAATTTGATCGTCAAATTCTTGACATAATATGGGTAACGGCCAAAAGTTACAAATAACTTTCAAATGGCTAGTGAATTATTATTTTTCATTTTAAAAATTTAATTTTTATTTTTAAATGAATTGATAGTCTTTTTTTGTTTTGAATGAAGTCCTTTACGCATTTATCGATCAATAAAGCTTTTTACATTCACTTAATTAAAGTATATAATTCTTAACATTCAACTTTAATTTATTTGAAAAATAATTATGAAACATATAAATATTAAAATAAAATTAAAAAAAAAATAAAGACTAAACGAAATAAATTTTAACATTAAAACAATTACACATAATGCACATATTTAATTTTAATTTTTTAAAATTGTTTATAATGTGTGTAAACTATTTATATTCAATTCAATTTGAGCATAAAAGTTTTTACTTTAGATTTTTCTCTTTGGACTTTCTAGCTTACAGAATTTCATTTTTTATATTCATATTACAGTTTGAGTATTTGAGACGTCCTGTTTTTTTTTAACACCAAGACTTCTCAAATATTTCTTTTTTAATATTTACATTTTACATAGTATATTTGTAAGAACTAAAAATAAAGGAAGAAAATTATATACAGTTAAACAAAAATAATCAAGACAAATATAATTATAAAATATATTTAATAAAAAAAAAATATTGTTTATACGAAAATATAAAAAATTTTTATTTTTTTTTTTTATACACAAATATAATATGTTTTGTTTTTAAATACATTTTCGTTGTTTTAGAAACCCTTGAGTCACTTGCATTATTTGTTTTGCAGTTATGAAAAAAAATTAATTTATTAGTTTTTAGTAAATAACATTAATGAGGTTACAATAAACTGCAATAAGCTGCAATAAGCGTTTAAAAAAAAATGTAAAGCACAAAAATTATTAAGGTACTGCCCAAAAGTTTAATTGATTATTCAATTGACAAAAAATATCTTTTGAAGTAGTTTTACAATAATTTTGCAGAATTTTGAAAAAAAAAAAAAAACCTTTCGAGTCGAGTTTATATTAATCAATCATTCGAGTCAAATTCCGCAATATTTTCATTATTTTATTTGAATATTAAATTTAAAATCATTTTCTTAAATAAATATGTACATACCTAGTAAGTAGGTTATTTTTTGAAATTCGATAAAGTCAAAAAAAAAAAGCAAAAATCATAATATAAATTAAAATTGGAATAAGTAAAAATTACATCAATAACTTTTTGTTTTTTCCTAGTGCTTTTTTTATTAGTAATGTTAAATCATACATATTTGGACTCTTGAAGCAACAGAGGGAATATGTAGGGAATTTTCAATAATTCAGATGTGCAGCTAAAGTTCTAACTTAAATCTTAAAAATCGTTTTTTTTTGCATCATCACAGATTTGCAGAAACTGGTTTACTTTTTCAGATTTTTAATTTCTTATATTTTTCTAAGTGATTTTTTTCAAACTAGAAATATTTTACACCATTTATAGGATTTTAAAAATTAGAAATTAAAAAATGCTATGATTTTCGAAATCGCTTCTTTTTGTTGTACAAGCTTAATTTGAAGATTTTGTAGTTTCAATTTTTCGAACATATTATAATCTAAGTAAGAATTGAGTTTTCGAAAATTCCCGTTTTTTTAAGTTGCTTAAAAAGTTGGTACAATAAAGCCCTTTTACACAACAGTTATTGCCTCATATTTATACTTATTATTTTGCCATTATAAAATACGAAAGTAGAACGGAACTAAGAAAACTAAAAAAAAAAGAGATGTTTTAGATTTAATTAGTAATAATTTACAAATTTGTAAATTAATTTTTTTATAAATATTGTAATAGTAAGTTATCTCGGTAAACTTATAAATATTAATTAATACTTTTTATTTGATAGTATTCTTCAAATTGTGTTTTTTTTTATGTATGTGCCAATATGCGCACTATTGTTTTAAACTAAATTTGGTGTTTGTCTTCCAATGTTTACAAAAAAACATAAAATTGAACAAAAGATTTTTTAAACAACGAAAATATAATAAAATAAAAAAAACATATGAAAAAAACAGAAATGTATGTATGTATATAAATATCTACATACTTATTAATAATCATTACAAAAAAATATTCATTAAACATCTTTACATTTCATTTTTAATAAATTTTACTTTTTAATTGTTAATATTTTTTTAATGAAATTGGAATGCTATTGTATTTATTTCTTGATTTTTATTTTTTTTTTTTCATTTCAATTATGTTTTTAATATTATTTTATAGTTATTTAATTACCAATATTTATTTTTAAAAGTTTATGTTTAAGTCGAATTTGCTTTTATTTTCTAAATACTAAATCTAAGTTTTCCAAAGTTTTTGATTTTTCTTTTAAATAACTAAGCATATTGTATTTTATGAATTTTATTTTTGTCATTTTTATCTTTTGAATAACAATATAATTATAATAACATTTAATATATATATATATTTTTTTTTAATTTATACTAATTTAATTTTGTATTAAATTTAATTATTTATTTTATATATGTAAGTAAGTATATACAAAAATTTTAAGAATAATTTGTGGCAAGAAATTGTTTTTTAAATGAACAAAATTGTTAATTGAAGTTAATCAAAAAAATTAAAGAAAGAAATGTTAATGCTGTAATAATTATTATTTACTAGTTTTATATTTTAATTTAAGCTCAATGTAGTTTTATACAAATTTTTTAATTTTATTTTTTTTATTTATTTATTTCTTTAACTTATTTTTAATTTTTAAAATACGCTTTTTATCTTATTAACTAACAATCAAAAAAGTTTGTTCTTTTTGTTTATGTTTTTTTTTTATGAAATTATTATACTAAAAGGACACTGTAACCACGATACTATAATATATTGAAAAATGTTAATAATTTATATAATGTGCTTGTAATATATAAGACATAATTTTTTTTTAATTAAATAAATAAACTTTATGGTTGTTCATACATTAATTATGTAATTACCTTGCGATATTTTAAATGACATAATGTTTGTTTAGCGAAAAACGGTGGGCTGATTTCGGTTTATTTAGTTACAATAATATTTTAAATATTTTCAATTTGATAACAAAATGATAGCGATTTAGAAAATTTAAAAATAAAAATTATAAGTTCGATTTCATAGCGCAAGTGAATACTATTTTAATTTATTGGCTATGCACTTTACCTTGCTCTCATGTACTAAATACATATTGCAAATAATTTTTGTTTTATACTTATTGAAAAAATATTCAAAAAAAATTATTTTCATTAAAAATTAATATTTTTTTTTTTAATTTGAATATAAAATTTAAATATTATCAAACACATTAATGGAATATTAAATAGTTCTTTAAATTAAATATAGTATCGCATATTTATTGAAAAGTTATAGCATGTAAATTTTAATAATAATAATAAAAAAAAAAGAAACAAACTATTTTCTAGGTTTTAATAAATTTGCATATTAAATAATATTTTTCATCTAATAATTTTTTTTCTAATGGTAATCTTTATATTTACTTATTCTCTAATATGTTATGTTACTTAATTTTTCTAATTAATTTTATTTTTTTTTTTGAGAAAAAAATGCAAAAGCAAAATACACGTTTATTTTTTATTTATTTAGTTGATTAACTACAATTAATTCATGCTTCTCTATTTATGTATAGGTATATATATTTTTTTAAAATTAATGAAGTACAGTATTTCATTCTTCTTAGGTTTTCTTGCTTTTTTTTCTTACAAATTATATGTTTCTCATAAACATTTAATATTAATTTTATTTACAATGTTCATATTTATTAATATTTGATGAGTACATGTGTATGATTTTTTTTTAATACTAAAACTAATAACTGAGAAATTAATTTTAATTTTAATTTTTTGTAAATTATTATTAATTATTGCATTTCAACTACAAATTTTTTCAGTATATTTAATTGAATATTTTAATGTAATTATGGCAAATTTAATATATTTAGCTCCAATTTCTAAAATTTTTCACAAATTTCGGTTTAATTATTTTGTTATTTTGGTTATTTTTAAATACCATATATTAAATTATTATACAATAATAATAATTAATTAATTTATAAATTTGTATTGTCTACCATTTCCCTTTACTTAATTAGAATTTTAGAGTTCTGTTTACATGTTAAGGACTTTGCAAATATGTTAATCACTGTACGAAATAATAAATAAAACAAATTCTTAAAAAAAAATTAAATTTTAGAATTGTAACATTGTATTAAAAAACATTGTATTTAACATTGAATTAAAAAACCTGCAAATTAAATGTGTTTTTTTTTCGTTTTTTCTATGAAAAAATTTTGGAAAATTTTTTCTCACTTTTGAATTGAATAAGAAACAGAGTAATTAAGAAATTTTTTGTAATTTGAAATTACAATTTTATTTTCTTGTTCATATGCAGTTGAAGCCGGAATTGATTAACATATTAATAAAGTTAATAATTTTGTCCGTCAAATTGGTGAATGCTATTTCATTAAATAAAAAAAAAAAAAACAGATAAAATTGCGTTCCTACCCAGCCTGCTATTTTAATTTTGGTCAAAATTTGGACAAAACAAAAATAAAATAAATTAAAATAAAAAACAAAAAGATAATTAAATATTACAAAAACTTAAAATACATAAAAATAAATTATATTTATACAATTTGCAATTTGTAGTAAACTTGCAATGTAAAGTTAGAATAAATGAAAAATAAAGTTGTTTTCCATTATAACTTTTGATAAAAATAATAATTATGATTTGTTTATCTATTCACACAACAAACTTGAAAGAATACTTTTAACCAAACACTTGGGAAACTTTTAAATATACTTGGGACAAAACCATAAAAGAAGTCATTTCATATGACCTGCTGCGTTAAATTAATTTTCAATAATCATATTTTGATGAAGTTATGGGTGACTTCTGCAAAAATGTATGAGCTTTTTTTTTAAAAGAATACTGTTTTTTTCTTTTCATCTCTATTTTAAGTACTTTTTTTAAATTGTTTGTGTGAATGATAAATTAAAGAAAAAAAATTGCAAGTAATCCCAATTTTCAACTTATAATTAAAAGATGGTTTTTTTTTAATATATTTTTTAAAATAATAATTTAATTTATTTTATTTGTGAAATTTATATATTAGTACATTTATTGCTTTATCACTAAGATGTTCACAACATTAAAAAATGTTAATCAATTTGATTATAATAAAATAATATTTTAATTAAATTGATGAGTGAAAAAATAATAATAATATGAGAAAATTTTAATCAAAGATAAATCAACATTTTAAAACGCTTATTGATATCTTAATGTAGAAAAACAAAAATTGCATCTGAGTATTTATTCCAGGTACCATTAAAACAAAAATTAAAAATAATAAAATTAAAGGTAAATTGAAATTCATTATTTCATTTGAGTTTTATTCAATTATAGTTCTGATAAAACATAGTTTAATAATAATTACATTATAAAAATTCATTTTCGAATAGAACAAACTCATCCATTCTAATATAATATAAAAAAAAGACAGTTTTGTCAAATTTCTAAATTTTTGAATTAAAAAATTTAGCAAAAATAGTTGATTAAAATTTAGTATAAGTAAATACTAACTTTTTTAATGTTTTTCTTAAACTTTACTAATTGTTTTAAATTTTTTTTCAATATGTAAAATATTTTGCAAAAGAATATGAAAGTTATAAATTTGGAAGTTTATAGCAAAACATTTTAATAAAAATATGAAAATTTAAGCTCGAATTGTTGAGTTTTCCTATTTTTTAATAGTAGTTTACAAATTCAAGGTTTTAGATTAAAATAATATATTACCTTAAATTATTTTTGTTAATTAAAGTTTTAGTTATAAATTTAAAATTATAAAATCTAATTACTTTATATTTAACTTAATATTTAATATTGGCAACGTTAATTCACAGTTTTTTCTTTCAATTTTTACATTTATTGAAATCATAACGATTCATAGAAAATCATTAATTACATTCTAATAATTATACAAGAATATAATATAATAAGGAATGACAGACTCAACTTAAAAATACTAAATAAATTTTATTTCACTAATATATAATAAAAAAACTAAAATTTTTTGGTAAAATGTGATCCTGCACATCACTTGAAAAAAAAGTTATTATTTTATTCTGACATCTTAATGAATTTTTGACCGTCTTTAAAATTACAAAAACATACGTAAATATTCTCTAAACTTGTTTTGATTCTTTTTAAGAGTTTAATTCATAGCTTTTTTTTTTTTTTTTGTTTTTTCTCTTTTGGCACTTTAATGTTGGGTAAAAGTTATTTTAGTTTAAGTACGCTTAAAAATTTATTTATAGTTGTTCTCATTCTTTATGTAAGTGCTTTATTACAAAACTGCTACGTTTAAAATTTCTGATCTGCCCGCCTCCAAAATGCATCATAATTCAATTTACGAAATTGATAACTCAGCAAAGCAGACGCTTCGCTAACCTATTCTCTGTAGGGTTTGCAATACGAGTAACGATGGTTCATATGTTGGCTATATGATCCTGAATGTGAAAAACGTTTTAAGCATTTGCAGCATTGGAATGGCTTTTCTCCACTATGTAATCTCTTATGTTCAGTTAGGTGATGTTTATGTTTGAAAGCTTTTGGACATTCAACGCATTTGTAAGGACGTTGACCTATAAAATAAAAATTTGTTGTAAATAAATTTGTTCTTTTGTTTATTAATTAATTGTTAATTTTATTATTATATAATCCTTACCTGAGTGTTCATACTTGTGACGTGCTAATGAGCTTTGTTTGCTGAACGCCTTATCACATTGATCACAGACGAAAGGTAATTCACAATCAGGGTTATTGTTATTACTGTTAACATTATTATTATTATTGTTCTGTGAGCTGTTGCTAATCTCCATTTTAAAGCGTTTAATCGCAGCAGCGCTACTATTACTACTGTGCAACAAAAAATCATCGTCGTGCGATACTCTAGAATCATCGTCACGCCAAGATCGCTTCTCCGAGCCAGGACTTAAACTGTTTCCACGGCGTTCTAATTTGAGACTGCCAATTATTTGATTTCTTGCATATTCTGGGGCCATTTGCAAAAGACATTCCATCGGCACAAGACCACGAGCAGCTGCAGCAGCTCCTGGTAATAAATATGGATTTGGCGGTCCACGTGAAGGATGAATTGTTTCATTTGGCAGCGGAGAATGATGACGGCGCATCAGCATTGCAGATAAATCACCAGTAGTTGATGGTGGTACTGGTTGTCGTTGTGGTTGAACTTGATTGCTTCCACCTATTGGAGCCATAGAAGAGCTAAAGTACATTGGTTGTGGACGATAAGACGTAGATGTTGGACTTGTTTCTGATTTGATACTTAAGTTAACTGCTAATTCTGGGTTACTTGCAGTTGATTGATTTTGCAAAGGCGTAGCACCGTATCGTGGTGATGTCGCTAACGGTGATTGTTGCAATGGAAATCTATTATCTTTTTTAACTGTTAAATCTAATGGTTGCTCTTCACCTCTTGGTAAAGTTTTTACTGGCGCTTCTATTGACGTTGCTGTTGTCGATATGGTTGGGGGAACAGTTGCTGTTACTGTTGTTTGTATTGGACTGTAGGTTGGAGGCGACTGAGCTAATAGAGGAGACGAAAAGCTTTTATTTATATTAAAATTATGCATTTTACGTTCTCTAGAACGATTATTTTGAAACCAGACTTGAACAACACGAGGATCTAATTGTAGGCGGTTAGCAATCATACGAAATTCTTCCCGTGATGGACGAGTGTTAATTGCATAGTGTTCTTTTAAAACTATTTGCTGTTCTTCAGTTATAGCAGTACGAACACGTACTTTTCGTTCGTTTTCGCTACTGTGTTTCGATTCACGATCTTCGGCCTCATCCTCACTTCCAGATTGAACATAACTTAAAGAATTAAGATTATCTTCTGGATCTGGTAAGGGTTGATGACTTGAAAAGCTATTAAGCAAGCCACAAAGTACTTTCTCATGCTGAACTAGCTCAGTATGATGATTAAATTCTTTTCCACATCGACTACATTGCAAATTGTAAAAAGATTTCATTTCTTTGACTTCTTCCTCATTTTCAGGTTGATTTTCTTTATCATTTTCATTGTCGTTTTGAATTTCTTCAGTTTTTATTTGCGGACTTGAAGGCTCTGTATGTTGAACTGAGTCTTCGTTATGTTCATTATTTGTATCATTTGATTCATCTTTTTCCTGTTTGATATTTTTAATATCTTCCGCAATTTTTGTATCGTTTTGCTCAATATGTTCTTCATTTTTTGGTTCATAATTAGTTTTTTCTTCTAAAGATTCTTTTAACTTATTTTCGACTTCTTTAGTTTCATTATTGTAAGTACTGTTATTATTATTAAGTGATAAATTGCCTGCACTTGAATTACTTTTAGCGTCATCATCGTCATTGTTTTCAATTTCATCTACATTTCTTATACTTCCTTCACTCAAATCCATTATTAGTTTGGGCTCATCGGGTATTTCTTCTTCTGTAACTTCTTCAATCATGTCTTCTTGGTCATCGTTTGCTTTTATCGATGTCATTGTACGGGTATTATTATCACGTATCTCGTTATTGCTATGTTGTAAACTAGAACCACTACTTCCAGCCACAGCGGCTGATGCAGATAACTCTAAAAGTCTATGTATTCCATATGGATTCAAACGTGGATCTAATGCAGCCATACTATAAAATGGATTGTTGAATAGTAAAGCAGCATTCATAGCATCATAATTATTATATTTGGGTAACATTGGATAAAAATTAGGATTCGGTGGAGGACCAGATCCCGACGGACCATTTGTGCTACTACTTCCATTAGTACTATTTAGTGGATTATTATTTAATGCAACTGCTGCAGCAGCAACTCCTGGAAGACCCGGTAAACCAGGGGGAAAATAATTAAGTGGGTTTTGAGTTATATTATTATTCATATGGTTGACATTATTATTGGTTCCAATTATATTTAATCCATTCATATTACTGCCAGCACCGTTACCGCCCCCACGTTTTGAATTTAAAGATGAATTATTGCTGTTTCCGTTATTTATTAAGTTTTTCTCTAATTTCAATAAAGAACGATTATTGTTTAACTTAAGACCCATACTAATGCATTTTTTTGATGTCATATGACTGGAATATGAACCGGAATGAGAAAATCTTTTACCGCAGTTATCACAACCAAACGGTTTTTCACCTGAATGTATTCGGACATGTTCCTTCAAGTGATGTTTAAATTTAAATGCTTTATCACATTCAGTACATTTGAATTTACGTAATAATGCTGATTCATCATGGCTTATCATATGACGTTGTAAACGGTAAACATTTGCAAAATGTTTGTGACATATTTTGCAGCTCTGTAAAATAAAGAAAACATAAAACAAAAATTAGTAAACATAAAGTTCTTATACATATTAATCTAAACTAAAATTTTTATATTAAAAACTATTTGTAAAGTTAAAATTTAATGTGATGATTTTGATTCTTGGGCGGAAAAATGTAGCCAGAATTTCGTGATAACAAGTTATAGAAAACAATAATAGTTATAAATAAATCATGTAAATCACTTAAACATGCTATATGCCTTGGCGTTATTTAGCCAAGTTAACGGCGAATTGAGCTGTGTAGCTGTATTGAAGAAAATTTAGTGTACAGTCGACAATACTGAACAAAGCTTTATTAGTGATACAGAACATTACACATTCCCTCCCCGGTTCAAGTTTCTACAGTGTTTCATCTAACGTTTGTAATTGAATTATTTTTCATTTTCCTGGTTTGATAGCAGAAAAATAATTTCTAGAAATGAAACCCAAAATAAAACTTGGATTACTATAACGTAAACCTTGAATTTATACTGAATTTATAAAACTTGCAGCTGATTTCAGTCAAAAATTTTATAAGAATGTAATCTTCATTATCATAAAATAACCCTCTTATTTATTTATTTATTTATTTAATAATAATGATATACTAAAAGGTACTTGTTCCAGTTCTATTCATATTAAGTAACCAATTTTAGTTAAAATGGCAGTCAACAAAAAATTTATTTATAAAAATTCTGCACTTTCTCATGTAAGTATACATGGTGAGTATCTTATACATACATATATTTATGATAATATACAAATAAAATAAATATTGTTAAGATTTTTGATCAGAGGACGACAAAAATAAATTTCGTTTCAGTTATGTTGAAATTAATATTTTATTTATATGATATTGAAAACATAAAAGCTTATTATATGAATGTATATAAATATTGGCTCCTGTAGCTAATAGTTCATTTATGTACCTCTGCGGTCTAACTATGTAATTCAACACTCGTGAAACAATTTGCAGAAATGGAAAGGTTGATCGATAATTTCTGAACATAGTAAGGCCTATGATTACTTGTTTTACAAAATAGACTTAGTAAGAGAGATATCTGGCGTAAAGAATGTAATGTGGAGCAGAATGAAATTAAATGTATTAAATGACAGAGAAAATTATATTGCAAGACGTAAATAGTTAGTACTTCTTGAATTTTTGAAAGTAGTTGTTATTATTTTCTTAAATGAAATAACTTAAACAATCGAATGTTAACTTTTTCTCTTAATAAAATGGATTTATTTTAATCTCAAATTTTTTAAATTTTTTAACACTTAATAAATCCTCTTAATTCTTCTTATTGTATTATTTATTATATTTTCTTGCACTAAAAAGTGTTTAAACCGTAGCTTGATTTTACAGCCGATAAATAAATTCGGCACTGGATGCAGACATACAAACATATGTACAAACGCACTATTAAAATATTGAAATTATAATTATTTTAGGTTATCCTTACTTTGCTGCACATCTTTTCATAATTTCGAATGTTTTAAATAGAGTTTTTGTTTTGTCACTGGACATTAGTGTCATCATTTCCATTATGTCCCATTAATAAATTTCAAATAGTATTATTATTCATTTTCTAAGTTATGAAAGTGATAAAATATAAAAATAATATTTTCTCCCATAACTTAAACATCAATGTACATACATATATATGTATGTATTTTGATTAATACATCCTCGAACTTTAATAAATATCAAATAAAATATAACATAAAAATCATATACATATGAACATACATTTGTAGTGTTTACACTTATAATATGCATATAAAAAATCTATAATGTATAAAAGAATACAAATAAATTATGAATTAATAACAGGAATAATGGGTAAATTTACAGTTAAATAAAATTAAAAATGGTTAATTTAGATGTTTTTTTTTATTAGTTAATTGTACATAAATACATTGAGTGTTATGTATTTAGACAACATACATTTTTGTACAAGTATTTTAATATATTTACTACGTGGATGAATGTAAACAAAGCAACAAAATAAATAATAAAATGCAGAAAAATTGATGGTGTTTTTTATTTTTTATGATTAGGAAAATAAAAACGAAAACTTTGAGGATTTTATTTTGCTGACTTTATCATTACAAAATCGAATTATTCATAAATATTTTTATTGATTATATTTTTTGTTCGTTTTTAAATACGAAATTTTGATTTCCATTAATGCCCAGCAATTAATTAAATCTGAGAAAAACAAAGTTTATTATGGAAAATTTTTTTACTCAATGGAAAATTATATAAGATGTGAGAACCTTAATACCTAGTTTTCAAAATTGTGGTTTAGGAGAACTTGTAGTAAACATTTTTTATACTTTCTAAGTTTTTATAAGAAGGAAGATTTCAGAGGTCTAATTGCTTGAAAAATAAATATTTACAGTGTACTTAATTGCTATTTTAAAATTAAATTTTTTATTTTTAAGGTTATATGCATGTACAAATATAACATAATATGTTATACATGTGTGTAACTACAAGACTCATAGGTAAGTACAGACAAATAAATACTTACACATATAAGAATCGTTGTCGTTAAACTTGCAATAAGATTTTAAATATGTACATACATACGTAATGTACTTATGTAGAATATTAATTATACCTTAAAATATTCGCATTTCATTTATTTAATCAGTTTATTTTAGACTTAATAGCATGATTTTTTTTTACTATATTAATAGCTACAATTTTGAAGGTTTATCCATGCGATTAAAATAGACGCGTCTTTAATTAAAATTTAAGATAATTTTTTTTTAATATTCAACAATTCAATTTATTAAAGTGAAAAATTATTGAAAATTTTCTGTGACATCTTGAATGTCAAATATTCTCACAACAAGAATTAATATTGTCTCTTTAGAAGAAAATTTTTAATAATTTTTTTTTTTTTTTTGGCTATATAAACAAACAGATGTACACATATGCATACATAGACATAACACTTACAAATGTATATTTGTATAGAATTTTGAATTTTTGTTCTTTTTATGATTACTTTTTTAATTTTTTTAATTTTTTTAATTTTTTAAAGAAAGTTAATTGAAAATTCAGATTGCCAATTTAACGACAAATTAGTGGGTTATTCATTTAAAAGCTTTTCAACTACATGAAATTTTTTTTCAGTGATGGCAAGGTGGCGTCAAAGTAATAAATAAAAAAAAATTCTTTTTAATTTTTATTTTTAATTTTCATATAGCATAGGTGATCTAACCTTTCTCTTCTTTCCTTTTTTTTGTAGTTCATATATGAGTTGGTACGTACGTCCATTTGTGCATACATACATACATACAAACATATTTTCATCGTAAATGAAAAAATTATTCACACCAATTTCTTAAAAAATTTGTAAATTTATTTTAAACAGGGGCAAACAATTAAGTTATTAGACATTTTTTTTTATTGTAGAAAATTAATATGCGCTTTGAGAAGGAATGAAAATGTTATTTTTGCTTTTTGAATGAAAACATGAAAAATTAATAATTTTACTACACCTTCTTTTTTTCTTTCTTTCTAGCTAAAATTTGGTTAAGTAGAAATTCAAGTTTATTGTGACAACTTGAGGCACGTACAAAACATCAAACAAACAAAAAAAAAGAGAATTAAGAGAAATACACTGTACATATGTACTCATATATGTACATACATGTTATTATATTTTAGGAAACGTATAGGTACCTACGTATGGGAATGTGATTTTATATATGTATATACAATATTGTTTTTATAGAATTTTACTCCAGCTGCTTAAAAATGTTTTGGTGCCTTTGACACATAAAGGTATTTTTTTTTTGTTTTGAAAAAATTTTGTAAATATTGGAAAATGATCATTACAATATGGTGGGCGAATCCATAAACATTGAAATATTTTGTACCTACTCCATAATACATACATACATAATATGTACATACATATGTACATATGTATATAAATTTTCAATTTTGCGTTTGTCTCACAAAGGTGGTTTTCCATAGTTCATATTTTCAAGGTTTAAATAAATAGAATAATATGTACTAAGTATTTATATATAAGAATGCGAATGCGTTATCTGATTTAATTAAAAACCGCATAATCTCTAACATTAAAACATTGTACGGGTTTTGATCTTTGATGCGGCTAACAAGGCTATTTATTTGTTTCTTAGACACTTTGGCAAAAAATTACTAGATTCGTTTGTCTTAATGCAATACGTAATTAGTAAAATTATTGACAATTATATAACTGTGAGCTATTGACGAGGTTAATTTACCTTACGCGAAGAATTAACAATATTTATGCATGTAAGTAACGTATGTAGATATATAAAATTAAGGAAAAATAAGTTGAAAATTCGTGAATAGTGAATATTGAGTCAAAAATATTAGAATTGATATGAGTTTTCATATGACACTTATGAGAATATAATCTTTTATCATTATAAAATGCGTAGAGCATCAACATTGGCATGCAAAATCAAAGATTTGAAACAGCCAGCAAAAATTTAAATTCTAGGGTGCATACTTATGCGTACATAAGTATGCACATATTATGTACTAATTTGGAAGTAGTTATACCGCACTCATAAGGCAAAATAACTTCAATTATTCTGAGGTTTTTTTATCTAAGTATGTATGTACATATGTTGATTGCACTTATATAAAGTGCATAATGTCTTAAATGATAGCTCATTTCATTTATACAGATATGTAGGTATATACATACATATGTATACATTACAAAAACAAAAAAAAAATTCTTACCTGATTAACGGAAATTTTATTCATAACAATTAAAAAAATCACTCGGGTTTAATTATTGTTGATTGTTGTAACGGCAATATTGATTGAGATTTTGTGTTTAAAAATAATTTTTTTTTAATTAAAAATATTTTTAAATCAATATTTAATTTTCAAGAAAAAGTCAAAAATCAAATCTTAAATAAGAGACAAATATGAGAATATGAGAGTCATTAAATTCTCCTTTTATGATAGT